CTGCCCCCTCTGCTGGCCTGGTTGCCCCCAACTGCCCGCCCCTGCCGGCTTGGTTGCCCCGCATGGCCCCTGCTGCCAGCCTGGTTGCCCCCAACTGTGCCCCCTGCTGGCCTGTTCGCCCCTCACTGCCCCTCCTGCCAGCCTGGTCACCTCACACAAGCCTGCTGTTCAGTTGTTTGGTCGCCCCTCAGTGCCCCCCCTGCCATCTGATCGCCCCATGCAGCCTGGTGCTCAGTCTTGTGGTCATCCCTCACTACCCACCTGCGGGCCTGGTCACCCCACACAGCCTGCTGCCCAGTCATTTGGTCGTCCCTCACTAAACCCCTGCTGGCCTGGTCACCCCATGCAGCCTGCTGCTCAGTTGTTTGATTTTCCCTCACTGCCCCCCCTGCTGGCCTGGTTGCCCCACACAGCCTGCTGTTCAGTCGTTTGGTCGACCCTACTAACCCCCCTGGCGGCCTGGTCGCCCCACTCAGCCTGTTTGGTTGTCCATTCAGTTGCGATGGCCCATGGCTCTTTATATATATATATATAGATTGACTTAATAGCTCTGTGACCTTGGGCAAGTTATTTAAAATCTCTTGATCTCAATTTCTTCATCTATAAATGAGTATAATAATAGTACCACCTTAATAGTATTGTGATTGAGGTAATATTTTTAAAAAAATTTGCATAGTATCTAGACAATAGGAAGTACTCAAAAATTAGTTATTCTTGTATATAATGACACTTAATACTCTATATAATAAAAGCCTAATATGCTAATTGTCTTGTCCGTTAAACCAATCAAAGCGTAATATGCTAATGATATGCTAAGGCTGCTCAACCGCTCACTATGACAGTGATGGCGAACCTTTTGAGCGCGGCTTGTCAGCATTTTGAAAAACCCTAACTTAACTCTGGTGCCGTGTCACATATAGAAATTTTTTGATATTTGCAACCATAGTAAAACAAAGACTTATATTTTTGATGTTGATTTTATATATTTAAATGCCATTTAACAAAGAAAAGTCAACCAAAAAAATGAGTTCTCGTGTCACCTCTGACACGCGTATCTTAGGTTCGCCATCACTGCACTATGACATGCACTGACCACCAGGGGGCAGATGCTCCAATCGGTAGGTTAGGTCTGGCCGATCGGGACTGAGTGAGATGGGCTGGACATGCCCTGGAGCCCTCCCGCGGTCCCTCCCTGGCCCTGATCGTGCACTGGTGAGGTCTGTCTGCCTGGCCCGCACCCTCTTGCAATCCTGGACCACTCAGGGGATGTCGGAGAGCTGGTTTCGGCCCGATCCCACAGGCCAGGCCGAGGGATCCCACAGGTGCACAAATTCGTGCACCGGGCCTCTAGTACAACAATAATGTAGGAGACATATATTTCCAATATTTTTTTCATATTTTTATACTATCATGTCTTTTTTTACTTATCTACTGTATATATAATTGTTACTCTCTAATGAATATTTTAATTTTATTTTAAACTTTATTACTCCTATAATTCTATAATAACCATTTTATAATTTATAGTAAGCATTATTTTTTTCACTTCTATTTATACCTGATCAGTAAATATTTATTTATTATTTAACTTTTTTTAATTACAGGTAGATGCCTCTGAGAGTGAACCAAAGAGTTTTATCTTTATGAGTGAGGATGCTTTGACAAATCCACAGAAACTGATGGTTTTAATTCATGGTAGTGGTGTTGTCAGGGCAGGTCAGTGGGCTAGAAGGCTTATTATAAATGAAGATCTGGACAGTGGCACACAGATACCATTTATTAAGAGAGCTATGGATGTAAGTGCACTTTCTTTTATATTTTTTGGGGGGTCATTTTATAGCTCTGCTTTATTATGTTTATAATTTATTTAACATGTTTCTTCTAACATATCTCCTATACATACTCTTATCCTTAAACTGTTGTTATTTATTTGTAATGAAAATTGTTCTGCATTATTTTGCAGTTACAATAAAAACAAAATATCTTAAGTGTATAAAAATTTAGATAATGTCCTTGAAATGAATATTTTTTATTCTTAATTTTTGTTTATTATTATTTTAAATATCACTTAAACTACCAAGTACTTATCAATAAGATTGAAATACTTTTGAAAAAAATGTGACTGCTTTTGTAAATCTTTTCCTATTTAGTTTAATAATGTCAGAAACTAAAGGAAATCTGCTACTTTAAATTAATCTTTTATTCTTTTAAAGAAGAGATGGAATAACTCAGTATTTTAAAATTATTTCTTTGAAAAATACTCTTTAGAGGCACATATAAAATGCTTTAAGCATATAACATACATACAAAATGGTAAATTGCAGTATTTACTGAATTACTGTTTTGAATTTAAATCTTTTAAAGTCCATTTCTTTTAGAAATTGATATTTTAAAATCATGTTTAAGGTTTCCTTTCCTATAATAGTGAAATTGTGGGGTTTTTTCTGGCCTAGTATTCAATATCTGTTAGGCTACTTTTGTTTTATTGACTTATTCTTAGGCTTTGTTGAATAGCCAAATTTTGCAGAGTATGGATTTTTTTTACATATAAGTAGATTTTTTGCTTCAGAATAAAAGTAAAGTGGCATCTTGTATAATATAAAAATGTAAGGTTTATTTTTGTAATTAAAATTGGGAAGGAATTCTTTGATACACTGATTATTAATTACAAAGGTCAAAGGTAATATGTTCTCTACTTTGTTAACTCTGAAATGTTAATACAGTTGGCCCTTGAACAATCTGAGCATTAGGGCCACTGTTACCCCATGCCCACCCTATGTGCAATCAAAAATCTGTATATAACTTTTGACTCACTCAAAACTTAACTATTAATAGTCTACTGTTGACCAAAACCTTACCTATAACATAAACAGTTGCTTAACACATATTTTGTATATGTTTTGTATACTGAATCTTGGCAATAAATTAAGCTACAGAAAAGAAAATACTTTTAGGAAAATTATAGGAAGAAAAAGTACTTCACTGCTATACATATTTATTGAAAAAAATTCACATATAAGTGGACCTGTGCAGTTCAAACACATGTTGTTCAAGGGTCAATTGTATTTAAGGCCCAACCCAACTCTTAAAGAATATTTTGGTTAATAGATTTTGAGGCTTTTAAAATGCTGTAGATAGAATTTCTTAGGTAAATTGTATATTTTTTTCAGCCTTTATGGGTATGCAAAGAACATAAAGGCATTACTACTTTTGATTGGTTTCAAATTTCACTGGTGTGTTTTTAGTAGAATTTAACTAAAAATATTGAGGTTTATATTTAAGTAACTCACATGAAATATTATTTAAACTGTTTCATACTTCAGGATATGAATAATGAATGAACTTTCTGACACAGTAGTTTGTGGTTAGAACAGACCCTGTTGATGTATTTTTACATTATACATGAAAAGTGATCACAATTCAGTGAATATTTGAAAATTTAATTTAGTAAAGAAAATCAGATGTTTGTATGTTTGAGAGCTAAGTGAAATACTCTATGTAATTATATTGTTCCTGCTACTATATCAACTAAGCCTTTCCCATTCTTAATTTTTTTTTAATTGTTGCATAAGGTTTTTTGAGGTGAAAGGTGTCTGTGGGAATCCATACCAAACATCTTTGAATTGACTATCTGTTAATATCCCAAACAGGAGGGAGCAAGTTTGTCAGTGACATTAGAATAGTTGTTCATCTTGTTCTTGTAAGTAGGAATAGTGTTTTGGGGATAACATTTCATTGCCTTGACTTTTTTTTTTTTTCTTTTCTCTTCTCAATCATAGCAACTCATGATTCCTTGAAAAAAAATAAAAAGAAGCTGATTTCTAAATACTTTTTTAGTATTTCGTATCTTCAGTATGTTATATACTTTGAAATTTTTAATTTATATACTTTATTCTTTTATAGTAACTGAATATGAACTTTATTGTGGTAATTTTCTACATGCTGAATATTTTAAAATAATATTTCTTTTTAGTCCAGATAAAATGATTTTATTATTTGGGTTTTACCTTTTCATAGCATTTCTCTGGTATTTCTTCAAGGGCTGCTCTGTGTTTGTTGGGGGTGGGGGTCAGTGCAGGTGGACAGGTATGGAGAAAAAGGAACCCCAGTACACTACTGGTAGGAATGCAGATTGGTACAGCGATAGTGGAAAACAGTGTGGAGTTTCCTCAGAAAATTAAAAACAGACCTGCCTTTTTGACCCAACAATCCCACTTCTAGAAATATATCTTAAGAATCTCGAAACACCAATGCAAAAGAATGTATGCATCCCTATGGTCATTGCAGCATTATTTACAGTAGCCAAGATCTGGAAACAGCCCAAATGCCCATCCATAGATGAGTAACTAAAAAAAGGTGGTACATTTATACAATGGAATACTATGTGACCATAAAAAAGAAGGAAATCTTTTGCAACAGGATGGATGGATCTGGAGAGTATTATGCTAAGTGACATAAACCAGTCAGAGAAAGACAAACACCATATGATTTCACTTACATGTGGAAACTCATGAACAAAATAAACAGACAAAATAGAAACAGACTCATAAATATAGAGAACAGACTAACAGCTGTCAGAAGGGATGGGGATTGGTGGGGCTGAGTAGAAAAGGGGATGGGATTAAGCAAAAAAAAAAAATCATAGACACAGACAACAGTATGGTAATTACCAGAGCTAAAGGGGTGGGGGGAAATAGAAGAGGGTAAAGGGGGAATAAATGTTGATGGAAAGAGACTTAAGTTGGGGTACAATACAATATACAGATGATGTATTGTAGAATTGTACTCTTGAAATCTATATAATTTTATTAACCAACTAGAGGCCCAGTACACAAAAATTTGTGCACTGGGAGGGGAGGTCCCCTCATCCCGGCTGCCCCCTCTCACAGTCTGGGAGCCCTCAGAGGATGTCCTACTGACGGCTTAGGCCTAAACTGCAGTCGGACATCCTTAGTGCTGCTGAGGAGGCAAGAGAGGCTCCCACCACCACCGGGTGGGGGTCCCCACTGGGGTGCCTGGCCAGCCTGGATGAGGGGATGATGGCTGTTTGCAGCTGGTCACACCCCCTTCAGGGTGGGGGTCCCCACTGGGGTGCCTGGCCAGCCTGGATGAGGGGATGATGGCTGTTTGCAGCTGGTCACACACCCTTCAGGGTGGGGGTCCCCACTGGGGTGCCTGGCCAGCCTGGATGAGGGGATGATGGCTGTTTGCAGCTGGTCACACACCCTTCAGGGTGGGGGTCCCCACTGGGGTGCCTGGCCAGCCTGGGTGAGGGGCTGATGGCTGTTTGCAGCTGGTCACACCCCCTTCAGGGTGGGGGTCCCCACTGGGGTGCCTGGCCAGTCTGGGTGAGGGGCTGAGGGCCGTTTTCAGGCTGGCGGGTGACTGAAGCTCCCAACCTCTCGTTTATTTCTTTTTTTTTTTTTATTCTGGGATTTATTTACCTTCTATGGCTGTCACTGGAGCTGAGAGCTGGCTTGAGCTCTGAGGCTCAGCTCCAGCTCTGAGACCTCGGCTGCTGAAAGCAGGTATCTGGGCTTTGTTTAGCTTCTATAATTGAAACACTGTTGCAACTCCAGCTCTGAGGCCCGGCTGGCTGAAAGCAGGTTTCTGGGGTTTGTTTAGCTTCTATAATTGCAACATTGTTCCTTAGAGTGCAGCTCAGAGGCCGGCAGCGGCAGGCGGGGAACCTTGGCTTCCTCCATCACTGGAGCAAGCAAGCCTCCTGTTCGCTTCAGCTGCCTGGCTGCTGGCCGCCATCTTGGTTGGCAGTTAATTTGCATATCGCCCTGATTAGCCAATGGGAAGCTTGTCGGAGGTACGGTTAATTACCATGTTTGTCTTTTATTAGATAGGATATCACTCCTACTTTTTAGACTAATACTTTACTCTGATTTGTGGAAGGAATAGTAGTAATCTAAAGTATAACATTTTAAGTACGTTTCTTATGTGGTTGTTCCAGTGACAGTCACTTTACATCTCATATAATTTTAAAACAAATAACACTAATATTCTATATAACATGTACTATGTAGACCCCAGGAGACATCCTTATGTGGCAATATTCATCACACTAGAATATTTTGGGATTTTGTTTTAAATATCAATATGATTGTAAGGAGACTAAAGAATATATAAAGTGTTGCTTAACTTTGATATGAATCACATACTTTAAAAGTTGATTTAGAGCTTTTTAGTTTTTAAATCACTTGCTTCTCTTTTAATAAGCTACAGCTTTAACTTTTCTATTATGTCTGTTGACTTTCAGATTCCTCTTAATTCACTTTGGGTTTTCTCTCCTTTTTCGATGGGCCCATTTATAAAACTGATTGATTGCAGTATTAGGATTTTTTTCTTTAAATGTACATAGGACCATTATACATGGGTATCTAAAAAGAGGGTATAGTTTTTGTTGTTGTTTTTCAATATTTGAGTAAAAAATTTTTGGTAACATTTTTGTAACTATTACCTTGAATTCAAAGTCTTCCAACTAAGTACTGCAAGCTCTTGCTATTTCAACGTAAGTAGTTGACAAAATAGTTGAGCAACTACTTTGGAAATGTGATAGGATTCTTTCTAGTGGGTTTTCCATGGTTAGTTGATTGTAACAAGAAGTACCATAACAATTTAGAGCATAGCTTTTATTTTTAACAATAGCAATGCCATCTAGTAGCTTATAGGAAATTATTTAGCATTTATGTAGTGCAAGCAGCATATAATTTGCCAGGAGATGTATTTTTAAGGTCTCAGAAGCCTCAAGAACATGAAAATTTCTTCAGAGCTTTTAAATATACTT